CCCTATCTAACTTAAAAATAGTGCTTTCATATAAAATTAGTGAGTTATTACTCAAACTCCGAAGCTCTCCGACTATTATTTCCATTAATTCACGTTGAATTTGACATCTAATGAGGCTTGCACACTCATGTATCAGAATTTAATTATAATAATATCGATATTCCCGAATTTATTACCGTGTGCACATACCTATTTGTTGAGGTCGATTTCAGGTCGAAAACAGATTTAATTGACAGCACTATACGAAGAACTAATTGACCGAAATAATTGTATCAGTATAATATATTGTTTATTGAGTTTATTAAGTTTATAAGTATACCGAGTTGTTGTAGGGCATTATGATATTAGACAATATTGTAGATTATTCAATTCTAAACAAATTTGCCAAATACATGATTTAGTTTAGACAAATAGTTTAGAAATATGAATTTTTTTCACCTGACAAAATGCACCTTTGCTGTATGAACATTGGAAATATAGGGACCAAATTTTCCATGGCAATTTTTAAGTATACGGAGTTGCCCTAGAGCATTATAATGTTAAACAATATTTTACACTATTTAATTTCAAACAAATTTTCGAAATACATCATTCAGTTTAAACAAATAGTTTAGAAGATATGAATTTTTTTTTCGACAAAATGTACCTTGGCTCTAGGGAATATAGGGACCAAATTTTCCATTGCAATTTTTAAATATACTGAGTTGCTCTAGTGCATTGTAATGTTTAACAATATTGTAGATTATTCAATTTTAAATAATTTGCTAAAGATACCATTTACATCCCGTTAAACTTTAGCAGTTATAAACAATTTACCAAACACATATACTTGTTCCACAAACCACATTTTGTATTTTTGCAGCTGTAATTTGTTATACACATAAATAAAACTACATGCATTATTATTTATCATGCTTATATTATTGAAAATATATACAAAAATCCTTCAAAATTTCATTCATTTTACATCAGTCAAATTTTAATTTTTCAAATTTTTTACAAAACTTGGAAGGCGTTACTGGTTCCTTCGTATGGGAAAATTCCTCCTAATAAAAATTTAAAGTTTCCAAAATGTTTGATACGATATGTTCCTGGTGTGACGTCATCAGAAATAGTCCATTCAACAGTGACGTCACTTGTTCCTGTAATCAGATTTATCCTTCTCCAGTGCATCCTGGAAAATAGAAAAAAATATATGAATTTTGATGGAAAATAATTTATAACTTCTAAAACATTTGTTTGAATTGAATGGTGTATATGGCAAATTTGTTTAAAATTAAATAATTTACAATATTGTCTAACATCATAATGCCCTACAACAGCTCGGTATACTTATAAACTTAATAAAACCTAATAAACAATATATTATACTAATGCAATTATTTCGGTCAATTAGTTCCTACGCGCTACAAACTACACGTACCTTTTTTGGGAAAATAATTTATATCTTCTAGAATATTTGTTTAAACTAAAAAGTGTATTTGGCAAATTTGTTTAAAATTGAATAGTATAAAATATTGTCTAATATTATAAAGCTCTAGAGCAACTCAGTATACTTAAAAATTGCAATAGAAAATTTGGTCCCTATATTCCCTATGTTCATATAGCAAAGATACATGTCGTCGGAAAAAAATATATATCTTCTAACATATTTGTTTAAACTGAATCGTGTATTCGGCAAATTTGTTTAAAATTCAATAATGTATAATATTGTCTAACATTATAATGCCCTAGAAAAATTTAGTATACTTAAAAATTGCAATAGATAATTTGGTCGCTATATTCCCCATATTCATATAGCAAAAGTACATGTTGTCGGAAAAAATTCATATCTTCTAAAATATTTGTTTAAACTGAATGGTGTATTTGGTTAGTTTGTTTAAAATTCAATAATCTATAATATTGTCTAATATTATAATGCTCTAGAACAACTCAGTATACTCAAAAATTGCAATAGAAACTTAAAAATATTTGTGCTATATAAAACTATATATACATATACATTACGGAGCTCTATCTTGTTTAAATTTTTAGTACTTTAAAGTTTTCAGAAACTATTTAAAACTAAATTATTCAAATTATACGTAAACATAGTAGAAAATTGTATTATCATATATCCAAAAAAAACAGATTTTTACGATATTTAGTTATTAATTAAAAAAATGTGTAAAAACAGCTCAAGTTCAAAATTTTGTTCATATCGTAGGGACTTAAATTGTTTAGACTTAGAATTAACCTTTAATTTTTGTTTTTCTCCTAAAGTATTTGTTTAAATTTAAGGGTGTATTTGGCAAATTTGTTTAGAATTAAATAATCTACAATATTGTTTAATATTATAAAGCACTAGAACTACTCAGTATACTCAAAAATTGCAATAGAGACTGAAAAATATTTGTGCAGTATTAAATTATATATATAAACATTTCAGAACTCGTTTAAATTTTTAGTATTTTAAAGTTCTTAGAAACAAATTATGTAAAATATACAAAAATATAGTAGAAAGTTGTATTTATCATTTTTCCAAAAACCAGGTTTTTACGATTTTTAGTTTTTAAATAAAATAATAATTTAATATTATTAAATTATATTTCAATACAAATTTTGTTCATATCGTGGTGACTTGATTTGCTTAGAATTTAATAACTTTGAATTTTTGTAGGTAACTAATTTTTTTAAATATACCAAAATAAAGCAGAAAGTTGTTATTATTTCATATATAAATTATAAGTTTTAGAAATTAATTAGTTTTGAAAAATTTGCTTTTGGAAATAAGCCCAAAATGTTCTTATATGAACTCTTTAAAGAACTATAAAGTTCATAATTTTAAAAATTTTGTTCAAAATATTTTTTTTCAAATACGCCAAAAGATAGTACAAGTTTATATAAATCACATATCCAAAAATTAGCTTTTTACAACTCCTACTTTTTGAAAAAAAAAAAAATTTTCAAATCGTAGTTATAAATTTGCTCACAGCGCACTTTATTTAATCAATGACATTTTTTCCTAAATTTTTGTCAGTAAATATTTTTTTCTAGTTACGCCAAACTACAGTAGAAAGTCATAACTATATTTTATCCAAATTGCAAATTTTTAAAATTAACAGTTTTGGAAAACCAGCTTTTGCAAACAAGCTTCCAAAATAAGTCTTTTTCATATCCTTACCTCAAAACTTGCTGTATTTATCCGATTTAAATATTTTGTTAATTTTTTGGCATTTTTTTGTTAATTTTAGTTAGTAAATATTTTTTTCTAATAAACCAAAAGATAGTACAAGTTTATATATATCGCATATCCAAAAATGAGCTTTGTACAACTTTTACTTTTTGAAAAAAAAAAGATATTTCTCAAACCGTAGTTATAAATTTGCTCACAGCGCACTTAATTTGTTCAAAGGCATTTTTTCCTAAATTTTAGTTAGTAAATATTTTTTTCTAGTTACGCCAAACTATAATAAAAGGTTAATAATATATTTTATCAAATTTGCAAATTTCTAAAATTAATAATTTCGAAAAACCAGCCTTTGCAAACAAGCTTCCAAAAATAAGTCTTCTTCATATCCTTACCTTAAAATTTGCTGTATTTATCCGATTTAAACAATTCAAATTACCACAAACTTTCAGGAGCTTTAAGTACATCATTTAACAAGTTTATATTTAATATTTTTATTAAATTTATTTATTTATAATATTTTTTTTCATACTAACTTTGTATCCCAATGAGCATCTGTATAAACAGTTTCCCAGCCACCATTTTCGACCTGTCTTTCAACTTTCAGGAAAGTTTTTCCATGTAAACGATCGTTTCTTGGATTTCCTGAAACCTGAAATAAAATTAATAGAATCAGAAATATATAAACATATTTTTAAAAATATGAAAATCTGGAAAAAATAGCTGTAAAACCCATTATTTGCACCTGGTAAATTTAAATAGTTAATATTGTTTTGAACCTTCAGTGTTCAAGAAAATCCTACAAAACCTTGAAAATTTGTTTAAAATTAATGTAAAATATATAATACATATATAGTAAATAATTATATAATACATTGATGTCTTATTGTGCGAATTTTTCAAATAAAATCAAATAAAACAGATATTTGTTCACATTTTCCTGCAGTTGCATTAATTTGGTTTCATCCATATAAAATTGCCATTTATGAAATTCAATCGATTTTTTTCACACTTTAAACCCTCAGTGTTCAAGTAAATCCTGCAAATCCTAGATTTTTTGTTCATAAATTTGTATAATAAATCTTTTTAGAGATTATCCTTGTCTCGACTTGGAAATAAATTTCTTTAAGATTTTAGACGTCTTGACAAAATATCTTTATTTGTAAAAGTTTTAAAAGAAAATATATTTTTTTAAAAGTTTTTTTGAGTTGATAAAACTTTTTTTGAAAGACTTATGTCGTAATCTAGTCGTATTTGTCAAAACTTTTTGGAAAAATCATATAAAATATATATATATATATATATATATATATGTATATATATATAAAAAAATATTATATTTTGTATAAAGATGTTTACAAATTTTAGAACCTTACATTTTACGAAAATTTCAAAATTTGAATGAAATTTTATAAAAAATGTGTATAATTTAACAAAATGTATTGGATAATATTTTTTAAAATAATTGAAGCTTTTATATTAAATATATTTTTAAAAAATTCCAAAAAATGCGAAACAATATAAAAATGTAAATATAAAAATATTTAAAAATTTTGTAACCTCTAATTTTGCAAAATTTTTAAAATTTGATTTAAATTTTTTATACAGATTATGTAGAATTTGACAAAAAGTATTCAATATTAATTTTAAAAATATTTGAAGCTTTTATATTAAATATATTTTTAAAAATTTCCAAAAAATACGAAACAATATAAAAATGTAAATATAAAAATATTTAAAAATTTTGTAACCTCTAATTTTGCTAAATTTTTAAAATTTGATTTAAATTTTTTATACAGATTATGTAGAATTTGACAAAAAGTATTCAATATTAATTTTAAAAATATTTGAAGCTTTTATATTAAATATATTTTTAAAAATTTCCAAAAAATGCGAAACAATGTAAAATATATAATATACATATATAAAACATATTTTATATAAAAATATATACGAATTTTGTAACCTCTAATTTTGCAAAATTTTTAAAATTTGAATGAAATTTTGTATACAAAATATGTATAATTTAACAAAAAGTATTAAATAATAATTTTAAACTCAATTGACGCTTTTATATTAAAAATATTTTTAAAAATTTCTAAATAATGCGTAACAATATAAAATATATAATATAGAAATATGAAACATTATATTTTATATAAAACTGTTCACAAGTTTTAAAACCTTTGATTTTGCAAAATTTTTCCAAAATTTGAATTAAATTTTTAGCACGAAATATGTAGAATTTGACAAAAAGTATTAAAAATTAATTTTAAACTTAAGAAGTTTTTATATTAAAAATATTTTTAAAATTTTCCAAAAAATGCGAAAAAATATAAAATATATAATATAAATATGTAAAACATTATATTCAATGTAAAAATGTTTACAAATTTTAGAATCTTAGATTTTGCAAAATTTTCCAAATTCGATTTAAGTTTTTTATACAAAATATGTAGAATTTGATAAAAATTTAATTGAAAAACCTACTACCCTCAAATTTCCACCAAAAAATACACAATTAAATTATGTATTAATTCTAGTACTTACAAATACTGCTTGGCGGACTTTTGTCATGTGGTACATTTTGTCAGAAAAAAAAATTCATATCTTCTAAAATATTAGTTTAAACTAAATTAAGTGTTAAGTACATTTGTTTAAAATTCAATTATCTACAATATTCTCTAACATTATAATGCTCTAGAACAACTCGGTATACTCAAAAATTGCAATAGAAACTTTCAAATAGAAATTGCAATAGAATATGTAAGACTAAGTCTCCTTGAGCTGATGTTTATTTAAAAAATTATTTCACCCCCGCGCACTTTTCCACAATTTCCCAAATATCTCCCAAACCAATAAACCTACAACCCTCAAACTTTCACCAAAAAATACGTAATTAAATATAAATCATTCTAGTACTTACAAATACTGCACTGGCAGTCTCGCCCCTGTTGTAAGTCTCTTTAGGCTGACGTTTGCAGTCTCCGAAATCTTTGCCCATTTCTGCAGAATCGTAAACAACCCCCGGAACCAAAGTCCAGACCTTGTCGTCGAAATAATTGGGTTTTGGGCCTAATTCTAGGGTCTCATTCTGAAAAAAAGTAGTAAGAAATATTGTTTAATGTGTAAAGAATAGGTTTGTGCGAAATAATTTTGAAAAACGAGCTTGGATAAAAGATTATAGGCCAAGGGGACAGATGTCTTTTGATTATGGAGTATATGTATAATGTAACAGTTTGTGTCAAGTATATAAAATACGTATATATTTTTTGCAAAATTTGGTTTATACAGTTTGATAGCAAATTTTATCTAGTTTTCATAAGTCTAAGAACCCAAAATTCTATCTCGATTTTATAAAAAGTTATGAGTACAAAACTGACAAAAAGTGTTTTTGTATTTTCTTACTTGAAAATGTTTGTTTTTTTTTCAAATACCTCGTTTGAGCATTCTTAGCACATTAAACAAAATTTTTGCAAAATTTTTATTAAAACTATTGGATAGCAAATTTTATCTACATTTTATATAATTTGAACTAAAATTTTTATATCGACTCTAAAAAAAGTTATAAATACAAACTGAAAAAATAACATTTTATTTTCATACTCCAAATTGTTTTTACCAAAAATGACAAGTTTGGACATTTTTAGAATAATTATCAGAAAATTTGTACAGTTTTATGTTTGACTATTTATTAGCAAAATTTACCTAGATTTTACATAAAATAAACCAAAATTTTTATTCTATCTTATTTATATCTTATCTTATTTATATCTTTAAGAAAAAGTTATAAATAAAAAACAGAAAAAATGTGATTTTATTTTATTACTCCAAAACGTTTTCACTAAGAATACCATTATTTGAGCACTTTTAGATAAATTATCAAGTATTTTGCAAAATTTTTGTATATTTTTTTTAATAAAAAAAATGTATGTAGATTTTACAAGTCAAAGCACAAAAATTTCTACTTTGACCCTAAAAAAAGTTATAAATACCTAACTGAAAAAATGTACTTAAATAATCAATAAGCAAACTGTTATTTTTCTGCGTTATTTATATTTATTTTAAAATATGAATTATTATTCAATTTAATTTTGGGTTTAATTATTTAATAGCAAAATTTACCTTTTTTTTACATAAAAAAAAAAATTATTTCAACTTTAAGAAAAAGTTATAAATACAAAACTGAAAAAAATGTCATTTTATTTTATTACTCCAAAACGTTTTTACCAAGAATGCCTTGTTAGTGTACTTTTAGTATATTTATAAAAGATTTTACAAAATTTTGATTTACACTATTTAATAATAAATTTTGTGTAGATTTTACAAATCTAAGAACAAAAATTTCTATTCTGACTCTAAAATAAGTTATAAATACAACTCTGAAAAAATGTCATTTTAAATTATTACTCCAAAATGTTTTTTCACTAAGAATACCATTGTTTGGGCACTTTTACTAATTTTGTGATAACTATTGAAAAATGTGAAAATGCCGCCAAGCTAAGCACAGTATAAGTGAAAATGTTGCACGTTAAGAATTATTTGCAAATGCGCTTAGACTGTGACTATACGGGAGCACTTTTTCAATTTTGTGTAATTAGGCAACTATTTTTTTTTTAATTTAATTCGAAATGAAATGACGATTGTTAATGTTCTGGAGATTGAACTAAATTGATTTATGATTTACATTTGATTTGATCTGATATAAAAATAAGATAGCAAAAATAATGAAAGTTACTGTATTTGTAATAATATATTTGAAAACGTTTAAAATTTCTCGAATATTTTATTACGGTACGGGAAGTTCCAGTAATTTGCCTTAAGGCACGATGCCATACACCACTAGTATTTATTTTAAAATGGGAATCATTATTTATATTTATTCAAAAATAAAACGATACAAATTTACAAATGCAGAAATAACATTTTTGTTTTCACATTTCGAAATATTTATTCTGTCAATTATTATTCATTCGTATTTTTATTCGAATGTTTTCATATTCAAATGAGAGAGAATGAAATCATGTTCTGTTTTTCAACTTTTTGAAATTTTTACTTCATATATATAATATTATATATATATATATATATATATATAGAGGGCAAAAAAAAAAAACCTATTTCCAAATCTGCATACGACCTAAATGGCTTTGAGAGAGATCTCTCACCGGATTAGGTCCTTGATAACACTGTTAATGTTTATTTTATCGGAAATCAGGATATCCCACACGACATGTTCAAAAGGATACGATTTCACATAATAGACAGAGATCTGGGGGAAAAAATAGTGAGTGAAAAAGATTTTGGCTTTGCATCTTCAAGTACAAGTTATTACGTACCATTTCAAAATATAAACTAGTGGGGCGCATGGCATCGTGCCTTAAGGCAAATTGCAGGAACTTCCCGTACCAAAAATTATTTATTTTTAAAAAGATAAACATTTCTGAAAAAAATTTGCTCTGAAAAAATTAGATTTTTGAGAAACTATAAACTTTTGACAAAAATTTACTTTTTTTAAAAAAAAAGACTTTTTGAAGCAAAGTGTATTTTGTAATATTTTGGAAATTCTGAACTTTTTTTCAAAGCAATCGTACTGCTTTAATTGCATAGAGACGTAATATCGAAGCGCGTAAGCGCTGCGTCGCCGTCTGACGGATAAACACTGGTACGGAACCCATAGAAATGTAAACAAAATTTATACTTATTGTTAAAATCTCTATAAAATATCTGATAATTTGATGTGCACGTGTCTACTGATCGTTTTTAACCGCCAAATGGCATTTTGTTTTACTTTCTTTACTAGATCTCCGAAACTGCTAGACCTGCCTTCATGAAAATTTGATCAGCTCTTCATATTGTTAATACAAGTAAAATTATGTTTGTTTTTTGAATTATTCAAATCGGACGCTCCGTTCTCTTAAAAACAGAGTTAGCGTTTTTGGCACTTTTTGCCCTATATCTTCGCAACGGCTGCACCTGCTTCCGCCAAAAACTAATCAGCACGTCTCCTTATCAATACGAATCGAATGTTTTTTAAATTATTCAAATCGGTTGATACGTGCTCCCGAAATCGTCGACGAAAATTTGTATCCGAACATACATACATACACGCACACACACACACACATATACATCCATTTTTCTAAGGTATGCCAAAATGTTCAGAAGGTTTTGAAACGTAAAGATCTACAAAAATTTTCATTTTCGATTTTTTTGCGATTACTATAACTTACCCTACGGGAAGTTAAAAAACATTCGATTACTATTGATAGGAAGATGTGCTGATTAATTTTTGGCAAAGGCAGGTCCCGCCATTTCGAAGATACAGAGCTAAATGTGCGAAAAATGACAGTTTTTGAGAGAATTGAGCGTCTGATTAGAATGATCTAAAAAACTTTCTGTTCGTATTGACAAAACAATTGCTTTTGAGAATAAAAAAATATTACATTTTTTTTTTTATTTTCCATAAAATATTTTTGTAATTTTGGATTAAAATTCAAAAATTACCCAGCCTAAGCACAGTCTAAGCGCCACTCTGGTACAAATGTTTACCCAAGTGCGTTTAGACTGTTTATGTACTGGAGCACTTTTCCAATTTTGTGAAAACTATTGAAAAATGTGAAAATGCCGCCAAGCTAAGCACAGTATAAGTGAAAATGCCGCACAGAATTATTTGCAAATGTGTTTAGACTGTGACTATACGGGAGCACTTTTTCAATTTTGTGTAAATCAGACAACTATTTTTTTTTCAGATATATTAAGATAACAATAATAATGAAAGTTACAGTATTTGTAATAATATAATTGAAAACGTTTAAAATTTCTCGAATATTTCATTACGGCACGGGAAGTTACAGCAATTTGCCTTAAGGCACGATGCCATACACCACTAGTTTTTTAATAATTCGGTGTGATTATTTCCATTTTGCAAATTTTTAATAAGATTTTTTCATTAGGTCGTATGCTCCCTGTCTAACCAATAACAATTGTCGACATTATATGGATAGAAAACGTAAAAGAAATATTTTTTCTATTTTTATTGGAAAAGGATATTTTGAAAAGGATTTTCTTTCCGGATGGCAACAATATAAATAGAAATAGAAATAAAATACTTTCGGATATTTTTAGATAAAAATATTAAGGCATAAAGCAGCAATTACTTCAGTTCTCTAATGAAGGTTCATTTCTAAATGCTAATTACAATGACAAACCGATCATATCATATTTGAAGTATGACTTTAATCACGTTATTGTTTTTAAATATTATACACATTTTTAATGCTATTATAAATATATAATTTATAATTTATCATTATATAAATGTTGTATAATTGTTGACACTAATAAATGTATGCATCACGAGTGTTACCACCATATTACTAATAAACATTATTCAAAATTGTTATATAATATATTTATTTCTACTTAAATGCCATCTTGTTCAGTAGCAAATAAGTTTTACTTTTTTTTGTATCTTTCTGTCTTTTATCCAAGGATATTTTAGGTCCAAAATTATCATAGATATGTACAAAATATTTAAAGTTTTCACGAATAAAAAGGTATATTATATATACAATGTTTGTTTTAGAGAAGGATATTTACAATGTGTGCAAAGTCTTTTCTTTCGATAAAAATGTCACAGGGGATTTCTTCTTTTTATTTTTATCATAAAGAAACTTTGTTCTGAGAAAACATTTTACAGAATAAAACTGCAGTTGAAAGAGCTAAATAAATATACTCAGAGTATTATTATAGAAATAACTGTAATAGATTTTTATATATGAACTTGCAATATAGAAAATATAAAGGAATCGTACAGAAAACTGATAGAAATTTTTGTTTTGATTGAAATTTTTTAAAATTACTTAATTCCTCTAATGAAGGTTTATTTCTAAATGCTAATTACAATGACAAACCGATCATGTTATATCTGAATTATGACTTTAATTACTTTATTGTTTTTGATAATTTATATTTCAGTACACATACTGAAAAATATTAGATCAAAATTATAAGTTTATGCTATAAATGTAATTTTTTTTTTTTTTTGAATTTTAAATATAATTAATTTTATTAATATTTTGCAAAAATTTG